ATTATAGCCAAAAAAAAAGAAAAAAAAAATTACTGCCTCAGAAACCCAAAGGGGTCACTATGAGTTGAAATTGACTCGATGGCAGTGAGGTTTTTTTTTTTTTTTCGGTTCAACATGGCTTTCTGTATTTGTTTGCCAATTGTTCCCTCCTCTGGGAGATAGTTTTGTAAACATACTATGCAATTTTTTTTTTATAGCAGCTTGTGAAAAAAAATGGCATAATGGCACTTATCGGTATACCTCTTAGTATTTTAGGTACATGATCCATGTGAACAACAACCCAGGAAATACAAGGATAAATTACTTACAAGTAAATTCATGAGGACAATTGGAACAAACATTGTGAAGGTAATCAATTGTATAAAGGATAGAACTGGGTATGCTAACTCATTCCTCAAAAAGGGTTCTAGAAAAGAATCACGATAATTGATATCTCCGAGCATCATGCTGAAGGTCTGGATGATAGAGAGGAATGGATTGCTGAAGGCATCCTGAAAAAAAAAAGGGTAATGTAAAGATGAAACACAAAATACATAAAAGGAAAAATGTTTCCTGGAGAGCAAAACTATAAAAATTATACTAAAATACTTTTAAAAAGGATACAATTATAGCTACTGAAATGTGATATAAAAAAAATTAATAAAATGGTGGTAAAGTTACCAAAAGAATTTTTTTCTGCACATTTAACAAATTATCATGCATTACAAATAAACTTCCTCTAACAAACTTTTTGACAGTTGCAAAAGTTATTTAGTAAGACTATACGTTTTCCTGAAATAAAAATCAAACTATTATATCAGATGAAAGAAAATAAAGTATTAATAGCCTTTGAGTATTATATTATTATTAATGTTTCAGGCCTTTAAAATTGAAGATTAAATATATACTTTCAATATCTACAACAATATAATCAACTATGGATACAATGGCCCCACCTGTAAACTCAGGAGGACATAAAAGCTGAGTCCAAAGGCCAGAAGAAGGAAAACAAACACAACCGTGGACCTTAACAAGGTTTTCATAATTACTTCCAACATAACAATGAAAATTCCACAATTTTCAAATCTAGAAGAATAAATATTAAAATATTTACTCACTTTTAGAGCCAACTGTATTTCATTCAATGTCAGTATTTATTATGAATAAAGAGAGACACGAAGTTTCACAGAAAAGACAGCTGAGGCCAGTTATTTTTAAAAAGTAGACATGAGAATTTATCAGTAATCAGGCCTCACTCTCACTGTTCATCAACCTGCTTTTCTTTCTTTCTTCCTCTTCTTATTCATCTTTATCTTTAGTAATTTTACCCTTTGACCAATAGACATTACTCCAACTCAAATAGGAAAGAAAACTCATAGCTCACCAATATCAAAGTAATAAATAAGTAAAAAAAAATTTATAAATAAAATTTAAAATAAGTTAATTTTTAAGTAAATAAAAACAATAACACTACCCGTGGTAGTTAAGGTTGTGTGTCAACTTGGCTGGGCCTGATTTTGAGTGCTGGGCAGCTGGATGTAGTGAATCCCCGTGATGAGACTAGTCATCAACTCCATGTTGGAATCTCCTGTGAAAGGCTGAGTAGCTGCCTTAGGAATGTTGTCCGGTTCCAGTATAAAAGAAGACTCTGTGAGAAAGGTCTCTGAGATTTTTGGCATGCTTGGACTCTGCACATAGCCAAATCTTCATTCAGCACCCTGCCATGTTTCCTGCCAATCTTGGGACTCTTTCTGGACTTGAACTAGTGGCCTGCATGTTGCTTAGTAATCTTGGGACTGCCATTTTACTTGTCAACCTTGGGTTTGTCAGGCTCAGCAGCCAGCAGTTGCCTGAGTTAAGAGAAGCCTCCAGCTTCAGTGGGCCAGAAGCAAGAGGCAGAGCTGAAGCCCAAGGTCAAGGAGCCTTCACCCATCTGCTAGGGTTGGCACTTTGAACTTGGACTTCTAGTCTCCTAAACTGTAAGAGAATAAATCCTTGTTTGTCAAAGCTATACATTAGTGGTACACCTGTTACAGCAGCACTTGAGAACCAAAACACTGGCCAAAATAATAATGCTTCCCAATACAAAATAATGCTACCAGCTGCTTAGTAAAGAATAATAGAATTAGATGTGAATTGTGTGATGCATTGAATAGACATTGAGTCCATGAGCTCAAGCACCTGAAGGCCACTATTGGAGTGCAGCACATAACAGATTTGTGTATCCCCCTGCCCCATCTCACAGCCTTCTTTGGTTTCCTTTTCTCCCTAGCAACCTACACTGTGAAATGTTTGGATACATGTTGGGTGTGTCATCTGTCCATGAACTTTTATTTTCTCTTTGGCAAAGACATCTTGTTAAAAGAGGGAGTCGCAAGATCATAGAAGGTTAGAGGGACTTCAGAGTCTCAGAAACTAAGTTCTGAGAAATGTTCAGTAATACTCAAAGGCAATTGAAAACAGAAGAGGTGAGGGAATGATGATGCCAGGGCCTGTCTCAAATCCTCTTGACCTTCAGACCACTGCTCTTCCCACCATGCCACTCTCTCCTCCAAGGGTCTGGGCTCCACTCTACATCACTGTGCTCATGACACAGGGATACAGACGATGTGGTAGGAAAATCACAGTCCCTAGAGTCACAAAGACTTTACGTAAATGCCTTCATCTTGATTTACTAGCTGAGATTCTGGGCAAGTTACTTAATTAAACCTTCATTTTCCTTTTTTATGCAATGTAAACGATAATTTTTATCTGTGGTCATTGTAAATATAATGTGAAATAATATATTTAACTTGACATTTGGCAATTATGGAGTTGCCTAGCCTTTTTCCCTTCTAGGATTACTCTTTATACTTGTCAAACAATGGTTGACCGGGGCATTTCTGCCACTTGGGATATTTGGCAAAGTTTGGAGATAATGTTTGGCTGCCAAAACTGGGTGAGGAAGCCACCGGCAACTAGTGTGCACAGGCTAGGAGTGTCACTAAGCATTCTACAATGCACAAGACAAGCCCACACAACAAAATGTGTTATTCAGAACAAAATGTCAATAGTATTCAGCTTTAAAAATGCTGGTCTAGCCTCTAAACTCTAGAATCATCCTTATCCTTTATAGGATATAAAGGATATATTATTAAAGCAACTGGAAAAAGATTAATAAGCCAGTTACAGACTTATGCCACTTATAGTAGTGTTTCTTTTGATATCACAAAAATGTGTAAAGGGTATATAAATCATTCAAGCTGACTTTACCTCTGAAGATATAATAAGAAGTTCATCCAATACAAGAATATAGAAATTGCTCCACACTGCCACTGCACATGAGCTGGTATGCCAGTGAACAAGGGCAATACAAAAATGATGCTCGTTGTATAGATAATCCATTCAACTGCATTGCTATGATCCCAAAAGTAATTCCTTTTCTGGGGTTGAAAAGAATGAAGAATTACCACATGTAGAGACCTTGTATCTTATGGATGATTTTATGCATATGCAACCAGTAACATCATTTTTTTCTAGCATTTCAGCCGGCTAGAGAGAAGTCATAGGATCAACCCTGCTGTTCTGGGCTGATTTGAGAGCTCTTAGGTGTACATCAGGAGCTCTGGTACATAGTGCCTAAGGCATTTGACTGCTAACCAGAAGGCTGGCAGTTCAAACCCACCAGCCACTCCTCGGAAGGAAGGTTGGGCAATCCTACTTCCGTAGTGATACTGCCTCGGAAACCCAAGGAGGGGTCGCTATGAGTCAGGGCTGACTCGACGGCACATAACAACAACAACAACAACAAGGAAGCTCTGGTGGTGCAGTGCCTAAAGCATTTGACTGCTAACCAGCCACTCCACAGAAGGAAGACTGGGAAATCTACTTCCATAAAGATTTACTGCCTGAGAAACCCAATGGGGGTCGCTATGAGTCAGAATTGACTTGATGGCAGTGGTTTTTGTTTTGTTTTTTAAATGGGAAATACCATATGCCTAAGAAGATTCTACAAGTCTCCAGGCTTTCTCTATAGAGCTTCAGTCCATTTTAAGAAGGCTTCCTAAGGGCTGCAAGTTGGTTCAGTAATTCCTAGGACCTTTATGTTTATATAAGCACATACACGTGGAGCCCTCAGATACATATGAGCTAAAGCTGACCTATGAGTTCAACCTGCTTCTAAAGAGGTTTGAGACATGTACTATGAATTACTTAGGAAATGAGAGCAAATCATAATGACATTCTTAAAGATCTCATGCTTCAAACACCAACTTTTCTGTACAGTAGACCATTTGAACATCAATAAGAAAATGTGGAGACCAAATCCAATAAAGAAATCATATAACTTAATAGTTTAATATAGACTACTATCTGTAATGTTTGTTTTAAGAAATGAAAATAATGGCAAGAGCGATTAAACAATATGCCCTAAATCATTAAGTAAAATGGAATTATAGGGTCTAAGTCCCTAAATTGTGACAATTTACTGAAAGCATATATATGAAAGTACTTGGAATGTATAATAGTAAACAAATGAAAGGCATTATTACCACTAACATTCTTTAATGCAAATATCTATGTGCTTACATGATGGAACAAAAGGAAACTTTCCCAAAAAATGAGGTGCTATAAAAAAAGACTATGATTCAATAAAAAAATGGCAGTTACAAAACATGCAAAGCAAAGAAGAAGAAAATAATTTAAACTGCTACACTGAGAACTAGAGGATCTTTGCTACTTATCAACCAAATAAGGGCTGCACATAATTTACATAATGATCAGGTCTGATCTGAACCTGGTTTACTCATTTAAGAAAAATGGAGTGTAAAGTAAGAATTATGTTATAAAAAGTTCCCCCATTTTCTTATGACTTGAATTTTTTTCCAAAAAAGAAAATCATTGCTTTTTTACGGGGGGGAAAAAAATCAACAAAATACCCTTTTGAAATAGCCTTGGGCCAAGGAGGCCCTTTATAAACAATTATATCCAAAATGATCAAATTCAAAACCTAATTTTGTGTTAGCAAAATACTAAAACCAAAGTAAGAGAAAATGCAGGAAAATCATTCATAATGAATATTTTAGGCAGACACACTCATCATAAACTAGCAAAAACATATTATCTCTGCTTCAGCTGTTTAGTGACTATACCTAAACTAATAAGATTTTTACTTTCTGAAAAGATTACACTGGCTATATTTGGTCTATACATTAATCAACCTGTGTGATTTTATTCTGATATAATGCTTCAAAATATAGTTTAGGTATTAATTTATTTTCTGGACATTAAAATCTTTGTCAATATAAAATGTATTGAGTACCTGCTGGAAAATCTGGGCCACTTCTTTGCAATACCCAAGTATACTTGATAAAAAAACTAAAATCATACAAACTCTTATAAGATATGAATCCTGAAACAATATAAAAGTGTAAGACAACAAGTTATTAGGGATATAAAATAAAATACAACACTTCTAACTACTTCATAATTTCCACTATTAAATTTTTTTTGCTTCATTTCTTTCTATGCACTGTCCACAGTTGATTTAAACAAAAAATTATTGTAATATAAACACAGAGATGACATATGCTCAGTATAATGTCCTACTAAAATATATTCAAAAATTGCCAACTTAATTCTAAAAGAATATGAATTGTAGACCTTTATTATTATTATTATTATTGTGGTAAAATACAGATAATGTAAAATTTACCCTTTTGACCATTTTAAAGTACACAACTGTACAATTCAGTGGCATTAGGTATATTCACAATGTTGTGCAACCATCATCACTGTAGAGGTACAGAACTTTTTCATTACTCCAAATAGAAACCTTGCATCCATTAAACAGTCACTTCCCATCTTCTTCTGCCCATAGTCCCTGGTAACCACAAATCTGCTTTACTGTAGAGTTATTTTAAATTTAAGTACGTCATTGAAGGTAGCATTTCACACATGTCAATTGCTATTAAATTAATTTATAGATTATTCATTTATATTCCTTCTCATTTCACAAAAGATTTTAGGAGACATTGGATACCACATATAAATTACATGGAATACTTAGAATAATAAAAGCCTGATATTTCAAATTTATTATGGGTTTAGCATTCTTAATTAAAAAACATACATTTCTTTATTCCTTTATTTAAAAATCTGAAATAAAAAAGCCAGTTGAAAATACCTTGGTGTCTAACATTTCTGAACGATTACTAGTTTCATTGATGATTCCAGTTGAGTTGAAACCCATTCCTGGCTTTATATTGACAACAAGTAAGGTCATAGGTATGAGACCAAGACAGTAAGATCCTAGGTTCATTAAATGGGCTCTAAACCCATAAGCCAGCCTAGAAAGAAAATAACCACATCATAATTGATTCACTGCAACCAAAAATATTTACTCATGATACCTGTGGAACAAGTGGTTATAATCTCTCTCAGAAATCTTGTTGGCACATTTGCTGAATAAACTTTAGAGCCACAAAGGTCTTTTAATTCTTTCATTTTCAGAAAAGACCTCTCAACTTCAGAGCAAACTAAGATTTTCTTGATGTATTTCACAAATTAATGGAGAAGACGAGGCTTTTGCCCAAATGTTCTGACTCCACATTGCTTGCTCTTCCCTAACACACACCTCTCATTTTATTGTCCACTGACCAGCAGGGAATGCTTCTTCCTGTCTTATGTGATGATTTTCTCTCAACATATTTCATTTAGTGCCAAGAAGAAGCAGTGCCAGCATTTTCAATATCATAATTTTCCCTCAATATCCATTTCCCTTCCATAGTATAAGATATTAAAATAAAATCTAAAACATTAAAATATCATTAGAATATAATAATTTGGAAGATTTTTAAATAAATTTAACAGCATTGATAAAAAGAAAATACTACTCAATACTCACCATTTCATATATAAATATTCTTTACAAACAGGATGGTTGAGAAGCTCTATGCGGTTATACTTTACCATTGCCTGAAAAACAGGGAAAGAGGAATAAAAACACATGTAAGTTTTTCTGCTAGTGTATAACTCTATGTTTATATTAGTATGAAAGGGACTCTTACTTATTTTAGAGAATTTGGAAAAAATGAAAATGATATCAAGAATAATAATTTTAAAAAAGTACTAGCTAGAGAAAACAACTTTATACAGATGCAAATTTTTGCGAGAGTTTGTTTCTTTTAATGTCTGGCTAGCTGAGTTAGCTTAAGTATTTTCATCTAATACAAGATTACAACTGAGAAAGATATTTAAGGTACATAAGCAAGAGCTATACTCTCCTGCACTTGAAGGAATTCAGGCTCATCTTCCTGGAAGGAATTTAAATAGCAGCATCTGCATCAAGGGTACTTAAATGCATCTTTAGATTACATTTTATTATGCAAGCTATTGGGAACTTATAGTATCTATTTCAAAATTAATTTTCAATCATTCAAGAAATACATAAGTGCATTCCCTTTTGAAATATAAAAACATTTGGACAAGGCCAGAGTTCTCACCACATCCCAACTCTACTCAAATCCAGGCCTCATTCCATTCCCCAAACTACTATTGTCATTAATTTATTATATATCCTTCCTAGTCTTTTTCTGTAGCATAGTTCCTAAGGCACTTGACTGCTAACCAGAAGGCTGGCAGTTCAAACCCACCAGCCACTTCTCGGAAGGAAGGTTGGGCAATCTACTTCCTTAATGATACTGCCTCGGAAACCCAAGGAGGGGTCGCTATGAATCGGGTCTGACTCGACAGCACATAACAACAACAACAACAATCTTTTTCTGTATTTCTACACACAAACATGCATGTGTAAAAATTAATATATAACCACAGAAAATATACACAATTATTTTGCATTTTTGTTTTTAGTCAAATTGTGTCTTCAACTTTTTTCAGAACACTGTTAGGTTTACAGAAAAATTGTTGAGAAATTACAGAGATCTAATATATCTGCCTTCTCCTCTACACACTCTACTCTTATTATTAATGTCTCACATTGGTATGGCATATTTGTTATAATCCATGAACTATTATTGATACACTATTGTTTAGTCAAGTCCGTACTTTACATTAGGGTTCAGTCTGTGTGGTACAGTTCTGAGTTTTGTCAAAATTCATAGTGTCAGGTGTTCCACTATAGCATCATACAGAATAACTTGATGGTTCTGCAAATGTCTTGTCCTCTGTCTATTCATTCCTCCCCACCTCCTCCTGAACCCCTGGAATCCACTGATCTTTGTTACTGTCTCTATAGTTTTGCCTTTTCTGGAATTCACACAGTATGCTTGCTTTTCCATTTAACAATATCTCTTATGAAGCAAGACTGGGCAATCTATTTCCATAAAGATTTACTGCCTCGGAAACCCAGTGGGGGTCACTGTGAGTTGGGATTGATTCTATGGCAATTGGTTTTGTTTTGGTTTCTTATGAATATATCAGTCTTAAGTAAATTTTCAAGCACATTGCTTTAAAATGCTGCCTAATATCCCACTGTATAGATAGATACAGCAGTTTACATAGACCTCTTATTGATGGAGTCCTTGAGTGTGACAGTTAAATGGCTCAGCTGATAACAAAAAGTTTGGTAGTTCAAGTCCACCCAGAGGTGCCTTGGAAGAAAGGTCTGACAATCTACTTCTGAAAAGTCATTCATTGAAAACTCTTTGGAACACAGTTCTGACACATGGGATCACCATAAGTTGGAATCAATTCAACTGATATTCATTGGTGTGGTGCAGTGAATTATTTAATATGGCTCTTCCAGCCATGGTCTTTGTGACTCCCACTGAATGACTGGGTGGAATTATGTAAACGTGAGGTGCTTGTGGCCCACCAATGGGATTGGAAAGCTAGCTAATAATTTAAATGATATACTTGGCACCCTTGTCGGGATGGGACCATGCAAACTAAAATGAAAAACATGAAAAAAATTATTTGTG